TGTGGGGGCTGGAGGTCCTCACTTTTGCCCTTGCTCTGAGGAGCCCTTTGGCTTGGTCTTGGTCAAGCGCGAGCATCTTGCGATGACACTGTTATCCCCGAAGCGCAGCCCCGTGCACGCGTGGGGTGACTCATTGGACCACGGGTACGTCAATCGGTGATGAAAAATGCTTGGAGGTGACTAAACGCTAACATCTGCCTGAAAACCAGGAGGAATGAAAGGGGCGGGGTGGGGGAAAAAGCCTTCCAGGATAGAACAGCACTTGCATGCTTGGGGTGTTGATCCAGTTGCCACAACACTCGCTGCCTCAATGGTTGCTATGTGTGAAATCCTTGGCAATGGCTCCGCATTGCTTTTTCCTAGAGCAAGCGTCCGAAGGGATTTTCAAATTGACAAAAGTGATGGGATGGGGTTGGGGTGGGGGGAAGGCAGCAAGGAGGGGCAGGTGGGACCTGGAAGGGAGCTGGGTTCGGGGTGGTGAAGGGCTGCAGTTCTGCCCTGGCTTTCCTCCGCGCTCAGCTCCACCTGAATCCCGTGAGCTGCTCCTTCTGAAGCGTCAATGTGAGGGAAGGGTCTGGTTTTTGGAGGAGAGGGTGGGAATAAATGCAGAAAAAGCCATTGTGGTGACAGCACCCATGCTGCTGCGAGCTGCTGGTGCTTGCGTTGATGCTTGGCCACCCTTGGGGTGCTCTCTCCCAAGACATTTCCAGCCCACTCAGCACAACAGGTCCCATCCGCATCTCTCCAGACCCACACAGCATCCCTGCTTCCCCCGGCCAGCTGGCTTGCCACAGAGATTTGCTGTTAAATATTTGGACAGGGCCCGTAGCACATTTCCGAGGAGGCACACGCGGGTGGCTCGGTGGTCCCGGTGGGGGGAAAACTTCAGCCAGGGGAGTGTGGGTGCCCTGGGAGTGTGCTGGGCTCTAATTAAAGCTGTTTGCCCTCGGGGAGGTGCACAGGCATCCCAGCCAAGTGATGAATTCAGCTCTACAGTCGAAATACCTCCATTTAAATGAGTCTAATTATAATGCAAATCAAATCAATTGGCTTTTAGTCTTATTAACATTTACGGGGGGAAAACTTCAGCCAGGGGAGTGTGGGTGCCCTGGGAGTGTGCTGGGCTCTAATTAAAGCTGTTTGCCCTCGGGGAGGTGCACAGGCATCCCAGCCAAGTGATGAATTCAGCTCTACAGTCGAAATACCTCCATTTAAATGAGTCTAATTATAATGCAAATCAAATCAATTGGCTTTTAGTCTTATTAACATTTACCTTACCTTGCTCTATGGACTGCAAGCTACAGCAGTTAGCTCCCATTCTCTTAATCCATCCTATTCACTGGGACTGTAAGGACCTCTTAACTGTCTGTTGTCTCTCACAAGCACATTTGCAAATCGGTGTGGAGATTTTTGGATGGCACCAACTTAGCATGTGCAATGGGGAAAACATCACCATGAGGAGCTGTAAACTGGAACAGCAAAGGTGGAACCAAATCTTGTAGGAATCTCGAAGAACCAACAAATCTGACCATTTGTAGATGTTGGGTGGTTTGTGCCTCCCTGGGGCTGTTGTTTCTAGAGCCATTATTTATCGGTTTACCAACCTCGGGTTGGTGGCACGAGATCCCGGCAAGAGGACCATGGCCAAGCTCTCCATCCTGAGGACCTGGGTTGGGGGAGACCTAGCAAACACAGGGCAGCAGCCGGGGTCCTGGTCAGCCTCACTGCTCTGGTCTCTTAATCCTCATCAGAGGATGGCACAGCCTCAATCCCTGTGCCTCTGGGAACACACCGTAGCAAAACCAGCCCCGTCTAAGTTATTTCAATTGTGCTTTATGGCAAAACATGTGCTGGAGCAGTCGTATTTGTCCTGGATCTCCGCTTGAATTCCTGCACATCTACTGGAATGAGTCAACCTCTTGCTTTTCTGGAGCTGCAAAAGGAGTTGCATCCTCACCTGTGCTGGTTTTTGTGTTTGATGAAGCTACCCAGGGTGCCTGGATCTGGCCATCACCCTTGGAAAATCTCAAAGTAAAGGGGGAAAATAAAAAAACTGCGGCCCCCAGCTTATTTTCCAGTAAGAGCCAGGGGTTTGGCTCCTTGCAGGGTTCTTGGGTGTTCCTCAGGGTCACCCAGTTATTGTTAATTAAGATTTGCTGGAATGGAGCTGGGAACTCCCAGGCTCAGGGCTGTGATGTAACAGCGTTGGCCATTTCTAATAGCAAAAAGAGTTTTTTGATAATGATTATATTTTTTTTTTACATTTCCAAGAAGCGTTCCCCTAACCCCAGATGAGTGATGGAAGTCGATCCAAGTTTCACAAGCCATGGGAGCTGTTCCAGGGATGCCCCAGGCTTCTTCCCACTTGCCCGTTTTCTTCCTATGCCAGTCATGTTGATTTAGCAAACCCCTTCCCTTGAAATGGGTGCAGTTAAACTGCTGATCTCCCTGTGTCTGCACAAGACTTCTCCGTCAACACCTGGCTCACAGCACTGGGGTCAAAATCAGGAACAGGTTTTAAGGTGAAGGCATCACAGAACCCCGCAAAATCCCACGTCTTCCTGTCATTTCTGCATCCAGCAAAGCCAGAGGGAAAGGCGATGGTAACGCTGGGAAAGACCCAGGGTCATACTGCCAAGAAGTGCTGCTTTAAGGAGAAAAGTTGGGTGTTTGGGCCATATCCTCCATTTAATGTTTGTAAATGTTTTTTAACTGGGCCATTAAGTTGTATTTTTGCTTCCAATGCTTAAATCCATCATTGTATAAGCAAAGCAGCATGCTGTCATCAGCCAAAGCAGCGTGGAAACTCAATTTTCTCTGAAATATGGTTTTAGGGTTTTTTTACCTTTCAACAATTTTTTTTTCTTTAAAATATATATATATATGTTTAAAACCCAAGCTCTAGCCTGGAATCAGCCTGCACCGCTCCCTGTCCACCTCCATCCAAGCCAGAAAGCTATAAACCATGAAAGAAGAACTCAATTCAGCCAACAGCTTCGCATAAATGAACCCAACAAAAAACTCGCATTTTGGATTTTTATTCTTTTCATTACAAAGAAGAATAGACGTGTCCCCACGGGCAGCTCTGCTGTTCCCCAAAGGCCCCGAGCTGTCGGGAAGAACGTGTCCGTCGAGGAGGGATGTGCTGCAGAGCCCTCCCAGCTCATCCGCTGGTGCCTCCCTTCTCCCTCCGGCATCACCACGTGTAAAGATTCAGTCTATAAATTGTTTTAATGACCTATCTTCAACAAACCTGGGTTTCATCTCTATGCTGAAGGCAGAAGAGCACGTTTTATGGGCAATAAAGGGTCTGGAGCGAGGGAAATGCTCGCAAGGGACAGGATGTGGCTGGTCCCCAACTGGATTAGGCAGTGGTGTGGGCAAACACCAGCGTTTCCCAATCCTGGCCTTTTCTGGCTCATTTCCCGTTTGACCTTTTTGCGTGTCATGACCCACTCTGAGAAGCAAACAAATGTCAGAGTGGTCAGCCCCAAGGCCACTTTGCCTGCTGCCGTGCAAAAAAAGCCTCCTCTCCAGAGCTGAGACCTACTCCAGTCGCGTGTGATCATCCCGTATTTTTTGGGAAATATGTGCTGTGCTTGAGTAAAGCGCCCAGTTTTATTGTTTTATCAGGAGAAGGGAAGCTTGATGAGTGAGCAGCACCGGAACTGGGTGATGAGGTCTTGGGGCTGAGCTGCCTCCTGGTCTGGTGTGGGGGGGGGTGAAGAATTGACTCCAAAATTAAGCCAAGCACCGCGGTCTTCTCCAGCGCTTTGACTCAACACTGAAATATGTGGTTCGTCTCCAGCAGGAGTTCAGTGCCTGCTCCAGGGCTTCATTAAGCTGGCCGGGTTTAAACACACGTTTGGAGATGACTTTACTTGTGCGTAAGGGTTTTGTTGCGCTGGGAGAGGAAGCTGGTCCCTGACTCGGAGACCCCAAGGAGCTCAGCTTGCCCTGCCCGGCTGTCGTGCCACCTTTTCTCCCCCGAAATGCAGCCCCTCTCTCCGCAGCAGCTCTAACCAAGGAGATGGGAGGTTGCCGGAGCAAGGGGCGATGCTGGGATGGGTCCGCACCGCATCCTGCATCCCGTTTTGTTGGGCGATGCCGGGCGCTGTGCTCATGAGGGATGCTGACCCACGGGGGATGCTGACCCATGGGGGATGCTGACCCACGGGAGATGCTGACCCATGGGGGATGCTGACCCACGGCTCTGCTTGCAGGTGGACTGGCTGCGGGAGCACGGGGG